CCAGCTTCCTGGGCTGCTCCTCCACTTTAGCTGCCAGGAACAACGTAGTCTGGGAAATTATCTATAGAGAAAGAAGAAAAAAAAAAACCCTGGGTCAGTTTTCAGTCAGCAGCACCAGTTAATTATATAATATCAGCCAACACTGCAGTGGTACTTACATTTCTATGGAATTTGGTGAAGGAGTGAATCATATAAAACCTGTGCATATATACTATAGCAGTGTTGATAATCAATTGAGAGCTGGGTGCAGAGTTAAGGCATAAAAAAAAACAGGGGTGATACACAGTGAAAAGGCAAGAATGAGTGCCACATTAGCATCGAGCTAGCGTTGAGTGGACAGCTAGAAAAACGTGCATCCTGAAAGTAAAACCACACGAAGTCACCAAGTTTCTCCTTCGTGTTAGGTTAGTGGTGGATTTGCAACACGGCAGTGGGTTTAAATCACACGTACGGCTGGTGTTAGTAACATTAACCACTGGTATCACTAGACACAAAGCTAACAATAGACTCAAGAGACAAAACAATAGCTGAGCTACAAAGCAGGCCTCGATACTTGCAGCCGGTTCACTACAAAACACCAAATAACCCGATTTAAAAAACACAATCCTACAAAAGCAGACTCTAAGTGTTAGAAAGAAACATTTCACGCCTGTTTCAAGATTAAATACGTGAAGTGCAAGCTGCTGCTGCCAGCCCCGGCCCTTTCTGGGAGCTAACGCTACCTCCAGGCCAGCCTTTGGTTTCATAAGGATACACGTTGAGTCTCTGGCCTATGTCCTGGATTAAGTTGGCGGCCTGCTGCCGGTAAGAGAGCTCCCTGTCGGCCTCGATCCCGCAGCGTCGAGACGGCGTGTCTTCGAGCTGCTCCCGGGTGAAGAGCCATTTCGTGGAGGGTCCCCGGTGCACCGCCATTACGCTCCCACAGCCAAGCCCGACGGTGTTAGCATCGGGAGGGAGTGGGGCTATGGGGGCACCGGAAGGACGAGATGAGCAGCCGAAGCCGATTTAAAACCGGTGGTGTGGTTTTTGAACGGCGCCCCCCAGTGGTCGGAGGTGCACACGGTCCTAATTGTGGCCACGTTTTGTTGATGCTGCGTCGGATAACCTTTTGTTTTCGCAGCAAAATGCTTTATTTTGTCAGATTGTATTTGGTGATTTAACTTTAGTCACTGACGGTGTTTTTATTGTCGTTATTAGTAGTAAACATGCACAACAATGAGGGGTGAAATATACAGATTAGCCACTAGGGGTCACAATATACTACTGTAATACTGTAAAGAGCACTTACAAATCAAAGTTGGATTTAAGTTACAGTTTTTATTTTAATCCTACACTGTTATACTGTTTGGTACAATCATTACAGCAGACTTTAGACATGATCCAGACTGTAGTATAATGGTGGGGTGGGGAAAGACTCCAGGTGACATCTTATCATCAGGCTGCCTCATTAAAACTCAAGGTGAGAGATGAGACTGATCTTATGTGTCTTTTGAAGTACAATAATGTCACAAATTGATGTGTTACAGCAATAAAATAGGACTTTGTTCAGATCATAATGAAGTATAATATGGAAAGACATGAGCACGACAACTGAGTCACCAAATTAGTCCACAAATGCACCTTTTCAGATTATTTTTACCCCCGTTTCTTTCAGAATCTGCGCTTTGCTTAAGGCAAGACACTCTACGTGCAAACACTTTAAAGTACTGGTTGAGATTTGGGGCTATTTTGCATCTTCTTCAGACTAGTGGAAAGAAAATGTCATAATTTTATGTCACATTTTCTATTCTATTCTGTAGATTTTTTCCTAAAGGCACCAAAAGGTAGCAATAGATAATGCCTTATATGCATATTTATTCATTATTTTTCTCTTTAAAAACTTGTACCACAAGAAATAATAGTCTAAATGTAATTGATCCACTGGGGGTAGCTCGTTGGGGCTTGTTAAAGGTGCAGTACGGCTTCAATCTGCAGCCCTTTGCTTGACCTGCCTCTATCAAATAAAGGCATGAAAAGAATTACTTTAAAAAGAAACAGATTTCAAGTGTCTCCAACCCAATAGCTCACTGTTGAAAACTTTCAAGGTCTTGTGTTTGATCCTCAAGTTCTTACACTTTGAAGGCTGACAAAAGCTCTAAGCTCCCTCAACAGGGAGCCGTGCAGGGTTTGAGAGATTGTGGGTTCAGTCCTCAGGCGGATCTCTCAGTTTTGAAGGCTGCTGTCCAACACAAGGAGTTGAAAAGCTCTAAGGAGGAAAGCTCTAGTAACTCTAGTCTATTCAGCTCAGGATGATAAGTCACTGTGTAGAAGTGTTGAGGTTGTGGGTTTGATCCTCAATTCAAGCAGTCAGTTTTGAAGGCTGCTGTCTAAAGGAAAAACCTCTGAGTTCGACTGTCCGATACAGTCGGCCAGGGTGAGAACTGCTCGGAGTATCTGAGTTAGTGGGTAAGGCCTAGTGAACTTTGTAGTGAAGATTTAACAGTGCTCAGAGAGAAGTTTCAAGTACAAAGGCAACTTCACAGAAAGCCCAAAGGCCAAAAACAAAACAGAACCACTGCACAAATCTTGTCTGAAAAAGACAACACATGACTTGCTACAGCAGGCAACAGAGACACTCGTGTATCTGTATTAGTTGTGCCATTTATTAGCATCATGCATCATAAATCTCTTCCAACTTTACAAAAAAACGTTGTCACAGCTTCACATTCCAGTAAAAGTTCAGATTCTCCTGATTGTTCGTCAAGGTAATCCATCCACAGGTGTGCCTTGCACCGGTCACAATAAATGCTCGTCCTAAAACATGCAGATGAAAGATGAAACAGAGTCAAAAACTGAATCTAAATGTCATCGACCCAACAGCAGAGTGTGTTCAAGGATCCTTGAGCTTTGAGATTTTACAGCCCGACGATGATTTTATACCTCAAGTTCTTACATTGTCAAGACTGGTGTCCAAACAAAAGACCAAAAGCTCGTAGAAAGGAGGTTGTTGGTTTGACCCTCAGGTGATTCACTCAATTTTGAAGGCTGCTATCAACTTGCGTGTCTCTGTTTATTGCAACCTGTGGCTATAGGCTTTAAGTGCTGCACTTCAAAATTCACTGAGCGTCATGAGGGAATCAGACAGACAACCTCATAGCTTCTGATTAGTCTTCTAACATATTGTTTGTATTTCTCAGAGCTTTTTTTATTTAAAGAGTTGACTTCAAAATTCACAGATTTGGGCAAAATATCGATCCCACATCCTCAAAACCTCTGCTTAGTGTTTTAACAGCATTAGCTACTTCATTTCTAATACTTCACCTCCGGGTATCAAACTTTAATTTTAATTAAATCAGTTGTGTCTTTATATTATAAGTTATAGGTTTGTTAATTAATGTGACACCCAACAGCCTGATTAAACCACAGTACTCGACAACATATAAACTGCAGCTATTCTTCTATCAGTCACATTATTTATACTTTAGAATAAAACAGTATTAAAACTCACATGAAATACTACTTATTGTACTTTAATTATTTTTTTGAAGAATACAATAACTGGCCTGACTTGGTAGAGTAAAATTTACACATATAACTTGATTTTAGAGCCTTTATTTGTTTGCAGTGTGTGTGCTGTACACCAGTGAGTAACACAGTAGAACCAAATGTAATTCACGATGCATGTGTAAAACTCTACATTAATATTAAACAAATGATACCACTCTGTTCCTCAACATTTAATATTTCTGTCAACAGTGAGGATTACATGCTCGAGTAGCTCCGTGTCTTAGCAACCCGTTACCTGGGTCACGTTACTTTCCCCAGTGTAACGTGATAAGTATTCCAACCAAAAGCGTACTTCGCCACACCCCACACGACTCCTCAAAGTGTGTGTGTGTGTGGTTGCAGAAAAGCCCTCAATGTGTGATTACTATAATATCTTTAAAGCAGTGTACGTGACAGGTGAGTAACGGGTCCAGTCTGCGTGCACGCTCAATCCTCACGGGACAGATGAGCGGCGCAGCGTCTCGTGAACTCAGCGGAGTTAGTAATTAGAGTCCAGGTGTGGTTAATTTCACGACGTCGCAAATTGGAGCCTGTGTTATGTTTTACCGCTGGTTCAGACTGCATCAGGTTTGTCAGCACACACACACACACAC